AAAAAGTCTCTTAAGTTGGTCATTGTTTTTTTTTTTTGTTCCTCGAATGCCTTCAGGGCACTTTTGGCCAGCTGGAGAGGTGTGAGGTTCGAACTCCAGCAACCTGAGGCGACAGCTTTGTGGAAGCAGCCACTTAAAGGCCTGAGCTAGGGCCAGGCCCCCTTGGTCATTGTTAAGATAAGACATGTTCAGGAAATTAGACCAGTTGTCTGCTTTGTGAAAATTATATATTTAAAGAGATGGGGGGGGGCTGGTGAGATGGCTCAGTGGTCTAAAGCATCTACTTAGAACAAGCTTAGCAAGCACAGGGACCACGGATCAATCCCCCAGCACCACATGCCAGCCAGCCCTACCCCCTGGTGGGCTGAGCTGGACACACACACACACACACACACACACACACATAAATAATAAATAAATTTTTAAAAATTTTTAAAAAAGAGAGATAGGAGGGGCTGGGGAGATAGCTCAGTAAAATAAGCACTTGCCTGGCAAGCGCAAGGGCCTGAGTTTGTTAATCCCCAGTTTTACCAAAAAATTTTAAAAAATGAAAAATAAAGGGATAGGAGTGAAAGAAAGCTAAAAAGAAATAGTGACTCTTTTAGGCATTGAAGGAATTACAGGTATGAAAAAGGTTTTTTGTTAGATCTAGGCTCGTCCTGCCAAAAGAGGTGGCTTTGGAGGTGCAGGTGTGATTTATGAGTACTTCAGGTAGACCGGGCTGTGGCAGCAGGCCAGGAGTGTGTCACGAAGGGTTTCTAAGGTGCTTGGGGGGTTGGGGGGCTGTCTGAGCTGGTTGTCTGGGACCCTATCACTAATGTGAGAAGCCGGCTCCTAATTTAACCAGCGTTCTTACTTAATAATCTGACACACACTGAAATTGAAAACGGTCTAAGCCATTGATTGGATCCTTGGGTGGTGTATAATTCTCATGTGCTGAGTGAGTATTGATGGCTTTCGGTGCCACCAAATTAACTAAATGGAGTAAGAACATCAGTGATTTGCTGAGCCCTGACTCGAGTCTGTGCGCTGAAGCTGGGCTCCATCTGTCCTGGGGTCGGACAGGGTCTGCAGTTTGCTGAGTGCTTTTTGCTACTTTAGATTCATTTGTGATTATCATTAATTTCCTTTTTTTTTTCCTTCCTCTTTTGGGTTATCCGGGTGATCACAATTTAGCTCAGCACAAAAAGAGCCCCTTTTTGAGAAGCAAAAGCAAGGACAAAGACAAGTCTCCAACGGCCCACCCGACTCTGTCTAAACGCCTGCGGTTCTGGTCTTCCTCCGACATCCCATCCTCTCCTAACGAGCCTGTCTCTTTCTCAGACATGGGAAATTTCTAATCCCTTCCTTTACCATGTGTCTACATCGTGTATTCTCCTCCATTTCTGAAATTCAGACTAAGTCAGTACGTAAAGGCCGCATGGCCTATAGTGGACCCTCCTGACCCCAGTTCCAAATTAGCCAGCGTGGATTCTGAGTTCAAAATAGAAGATGCGTTGTCACGCTCTCTGGACCATTTCTTCAGCGCAGCACAGTTTAGGGGACCCTCAGGACATACGAGCCTGTGTCCTTGGGCCAGGATGCCCGTGTTCAGTAAGTTGTGTGGCTGTGTGTCCCGCCCCCTGCCCCCGCAGGCTTCTGTCTTGCCCGTCTGTCGAGCAGAAGTGGTCTGTGTCGCTGTGCTTCCTAAAACATAGGCTGCATCACGTGAGGTTTTGAAGCAGCTAACGTTAAAATAGCTGCACTTTTGCCCCCATGTTGAAAGAACCTTGAGTCGTTGACGCTGTTAGTAAAGCCTCGTTCAAGGTGCTCTGTGTTTGGAAGGATTGCCTGCTCTATTGAAGTGTATAGAGCAATTGGAGTGGTTTTCGTCCAGCGAGAGCAAGCCCAGAATGAGGTTCTATGGCTGTGCTGTGCTCCTGTGACATCCCGGACGCTGAGATTAAAACAGCAGTGGACAGAAGGAACACTGGCACACAGATACACCCAGAGCTGAGGACAGTGCTGGCCAGAGGCCACTGCCTGCCAGAGTCTTTCCTGTCTGTCTCCGGCCACTCCCGTCCTGCCCTGGCTGTGCCCTGTCCTTAGGCCACCTGTGTGGCCACTTACATGTTTCCCCCGAAGTTTCCAGTGAAGTTTGTCTGAAAAAAGAAAGGTTATTGTCATACCTTGCTGTAAAAGGAAAACAAATGTTACCATAAAAGCAAGTAACCATAAAAACAAACCCATAAAAAATAAATAAACCCATAACTCTGAAAGTGTTGCAGTTGGCTAATCTCCTGCTGGCTCCATCTCATGACTCTTGCTTGGGAGCACTGGGTGCCTGGGGCCTGGTCCCCTGGGCCCTGCTCTCACACGCTGCTGGAACTGCGCTGCCCGCCTGCCTGCCCGCCCGCCCGCCTGCCTGCCTGCCACTCATGCTGCCTGTTGCCTGTTTCCACTCCCCTCCATATCCATTTCCATGCCACCCCCACCCTCACCCCCCGGGTGACCTGTCCAGCTTCATTCCACCAGACTTGAATCTTGCTTCTCATCAAGGTTGTCTTTCAAAAATCCAAATTTTCCAGCCAGGCTTGGTGGCACGTGCTGGTAATCCCAGCACTTGGGAGGCTGAGCAGAAGGACTTCTGAGAGATTGGGAGCACCTAAGCTACGAAGCAAGACCCTGTCTCAATAAAACAAAACAAATCCAAATCTCCCTTCGTTTCAGATCCCAGGATCTGAGCGCAGTGAGCCCAGGTTCTCAGAGGCCAAGAGGGCAGACGGCCCAGTCTTCAGGAGCTGAAACCTCCCTGAAACTCCTGGCCCTTGGGGCCTGTGCAGTGGGGTGACAAAATGCTTTGTCACCTGCTAGGGGGCTCCGTACATTCTTATCTTGTATTTGAAGTACCAATCCTCTCTTCCACTTGCTTTTCTTTAATAATGTTTTATATAATTTTATCTGATTGTGAAAAGAGTATATTTTCTTGGTAGACAAGTCATCACTGCCCAAAACCTAGAATACAAGGTAAAAATGGTATCTGATGGTCCATCTCACGGTGCAGAGATCCGGGCTTCTCTTTTTGGAAGGTTAAGACAATTGAGAGGTTGGCAGTAGACTTTTTTCTGGAACCCTAAGGGGCTTCCTTTAGCATGTGGGGTTCAGGTTGGGCTCGGTCCTAAGCAGAGCAGTCATGACTTGGGGGCCCGGGGGGAGCCGGGCCCTGTTGGACTCTGCCAGAGCCGGGTTTATCCTGAGCTCTCCTGAACTGGCAGTCTGACCCACCCTGGAGCCACAGTGGCCTTGAGGGGTTGAGCAAGCTGAGGCCCCTGTTTACCTTGGGCTGGGAGGGACGGCACCCAGCTTCTGTGGTCCATGTGCGTGCTACGCCTGCTTCAGGCCTCAGTGTGCCCACCCCACCTGCGTACAGCTTTGGCAGCCTCATTTTTCAGTGTCCTCTTCCGCCCCAGGCCCTGGGGATCTAAAACCAAAGCGAGGGTCCCCACACGGAAGCAGCCTGGACCACGCCGAGGCCTCCACAGACCCAGCCGTGAAGCCCTGGCCCGCAGAGCTGGGCTCCCAGACATGTTCAGCCTCAGCCATCACAGCGCCCTCCTCCAGCTCCACCCCCCTCCCCCGACACCTGAGTCGCACCAAAGGTGAGTGTGGGTCCCTCTGGAGGGGTGACTCAAGCCTGGATCCTTCCTAAAGACCCCAGTTCAGAGGCAAGTGGGAGCCACGAGGTCTGTGTGGAGGAGCCATACTGTGGTGGTCTTGGGGGTCGCAGGTACAGCTGCAGACCCCAGCTCTGCTCACCAGCCAGGGACTGGGGACAAGTCAACCACCAGGAGTCCAAATGTCATGGAGAAAGCTCAGAACCTCCCCTGCCCTCCCTGCAGCAAATGGACATTGGTGGCCCCAGGTAGCCCCTGACGAAATCTGAAGTGGGATTGAGCACCGAGGTGCAGGCTGAAGCCAGGGGACCGCCCTTGTCCCCTCACTCTGGGAATCTGGAGGAGGTTGACCCAGAGCAGGTGTCTGGCCTTGAAGTCCATTGACAAAGCTGCAGCCCAGCGTCCCACATTGTGAACATGATGAGGGGGCAGATTTATACGGCTCCTGGCTCCCAGGACATCCAGGGCTGTGCACATTCAGGTGTTCAGGCACGAGAGTGAAGTGCTGGGTAATCTCAGGAGCTGAATAGTAGAGTGACTCAGTCAGTGTTAGCCGGCAAAGCCTGTGCAACTCCAGGACGAGAGCAGAAGCGGAGCCGAAGGCACCCGGAGTAACACAGAGTTCACAGAGCAGAGATGCCCAGCAGGAGTCAGAGCTAAGAGAAGCTGCTGTGCCCGGGAACAAGAACGGGAGGCTAGCGAACGAGAGGGGGCGGGTGTGCGCCTGGAAATTTAAGAGTAAAGACAGGTAACGCTTGAGACGGGAAAAGACGGTGTAGAATTTAAGAGGAAAGAAACTGCTAAAGGAGTTAGAGGGGACTAGCTCTGCCTTGCCCCCTTCTCATCTGTGACTGACCGACCTCTGGAGGAAGAAGGTTGTTTTTCCTGGTGAAGGCACTCTGAGCTCTAGAAGCCTTGGATACGCACAGGTTTATCCATCAGGCAAAACCAAAAGGCGACACAGACCAGGCCCCTGCACTTGGGAGCCTCACACTCCCGAGAGTCATTGCCAGAGTGGAGACCCTCCGGTCCTTGGCTGGGTATTGTGGGTGGGGTGCAGGGCTGCCTGGAGAGCTGACCTCTGGTGTCCCCACAGGTGTGGCCTCACTTCCTCACACCTGGTCTCTAGTCCAGAGCACACCATCTCGGGTCCTCGTGTCGAGGAAACAACATGGAGTGAGGATGTGGTGTTTCTCCTCTTCTAAGCTAGGAAATGAAGGGAGGATGGAAAAAGCCGGTTCCAAGGCACTGCCTAGGGTGCCCTCCATCTCCCTTAGAACTGGACATTACCACCATGTGGGCTCTCTGAGGGCCACCGCTGGCTGTGCAGCACAGGCAGGGTTGCTGGTGAATGGTACAGGTGTCAGCATGGCTCACCCCCTGTTCTTCCTGCAGGCTGCAGTTCAGATGACAAGCTTTGCGAGCCGTCCCTGGAGCTCGAAGGCGCCCAGCACAGACAGCACGGTGAGTGGCCCTGCTGAGTGGCCCTGCGGGGGTCTCTTAGGCTGAGCTTCCGGGGCAGGTTTTGGTCCACAGTACTTTTCGCAGGATCTCCCAGCTCCCCTTCTGTCCAGTCCAGAGGCCTGAGCGCCTACCCCTGCTTGTACCCCTCCAGTGCCTCCAACAGCCTGGTTTTGGAAGCTCTGATGCCCCTACATTAAGGTGCCCCTCCCTCAGGGAACAGCACTTTCGGGAAGGCCTCTCATTGAGCTCTTGGGTTTTATCTGCCCAAGGCAGCTCTGGGCTATAAGAAGTCTTAGAGAACATTAGAATTCAATCATGTCTTTTGAATTAAGGTACTGTAAAGTTTGGAGGAGAGGAAACAGTGACGACCCCAGCCTCCTCAGAACTTGTAGGTTTCTTTGGGTTAGGCTCTCCCTCTTCCTCTGCCCTTCCTGTCCTTTGTTCTCTTCCCACTCCTCTCCCTCCCCCTCCCTCACCCCTCCTCTTTCCTCTCCTCTTCCCCCTTCCTCTCTCTGCCTCTTCCTTCTTTATGGTAGGGATTAAACCTGTTTCTTCACCCCGTGCTTGGCAGGCACTCTACAGAGCTATACTCCAGCCCTCAGTTTTTGAAAAGCAACCCTAGAAGGCTAGGAAAATAATCCTTAAAATTTTTTTCTTATATTGGGTTCAGCGTACGTCAGAGGCGCTGGCAGTGGGTGTGGGAGCTAGGGTGATCCCCTCCCCTGCCCACTGTGTCCGAAGTGTGAAGATGCTTATGTGGGTGCACTCAAGTGAGACAGGATTTCTTTGAGTAAACACAGGCTCTACAGCGAGACCAGTGCCCCAGGAGCCCTTGGTCCCTACCCCGAGAGGAGGCTACATGGCAAGAGGAAGCCGCCCTGTTCACTTTGAACATCTCACCCTGTGGCCAGAGGCTTCCCGAGGTGTCTGCATCCACAGCCTCTCTGGTCACAAGAGGGGAGGGACAGGATCTGCACACAGTGATGTTTGGGGACCTTGACTGGTATCACAATTTCCCTGTGACATATATGGCCCAGGAGACGTACACTAGGCCTCAAGGCTGTTTTGCTATTCCTGAGCCCCAAGTCTGTTATGGCTCCTTCCCAAGTGCCATTTGTTTAGTCTGCTGTTTGCTGCGGAGCCCCTGAGCACTTGGGAACTGGGTGCCCTCAGACCTGGGAAACCTGGGCAGCTCCCTCCCTGGGAGCCCTGAGGGTTTCTGCTGCTGGACATGTGCTTGGGCTGGGGCTTGCAGGATGATGAAAACATTGTCCCAGGCTCCCAGGGGCTCAGGGCCAGCAGGATAGCTGTTTTCTCACGAGACACCGTGGCTGGGGCAGGCTGCTGGAGGAGGAAGCATGAGCGGTCTGTGGGCCTTGGCAGGGCTGGCCTGCCCTCTCCAGGGGGTGGCGCCCGCCTTCCCAGGGTCTGCAGCAGGGCAGCGCCAAGCATGCCTGCTCGGGCAGCACCCGTGGCAGCCAGGAGGGCTACGTACCCTCCACGCTTGCCTTGTAAGTCTCGAGTTTCCCCTTTAGAACAGATCTAACTTTGAGGCAAGTGCCACAGGAGCTGACAGCGGCAAACAACCAGGAGGAACATTTATTCCTTTTCGTCCTGTAGTCCCAGCACCCCTTCTGTGGTCACCTGCAGGGGTGCCACCCCTTGCACAGGCACATGATTAGATGTGTGTACACGTGTCCAAAAACTGCCCAGAGCAGCACCTTGTCCCGCTCGTAGAAGGGGCTGGTCACTTATGTCCTGGAAAGCTCTGCCGTAATTTGGTTGCCTGCCCACCCCACCCCACCCCGCCCCGTGACCCTTGGTCTACCTAGAGCAGTCCTCTGTCTGCTTTCTATGCTCAGCCTGGGGAGATTTCCTTCGATGCTGAAGTCGTTTTCTACCGCAGTCCTGTACCTAGCAGAGACTGATAGCCAAAGCTGCTGGTCATCCACAGCCTGCTCTGTGCCAGGCCTGGCATCCTGGTGGTGCCACCAAACCACCCTGGGAGCATTCAGGGGATCCATAGCTCTTCCTGAGGGTGCTACTCTCGCTCACTCAGGCAGTAAGTCGCTCTGGCTCCATGCTTTTCTCACAAGAGATGGTTTCAAACCCCTGGGGTCTGCCTGGTCCGCAGCCTCTTACTTTAAACATTACCGTTTCCTCTCAGTGTCCCGGCCAAGCAGCTTGGAGAGCAGCAGAAACCCGTCCAGCAACAGCTCACCTCTCAGCCTCAAAGGTATGGCTGCCCCCAGGAGCCCTCGAAATGCTTATCCGGATGCTTGGCTCTGGGCTCCTGTGATTCTTACAAGCTTAAAAACTGGTGACGAGGACTCTAGAGGCATCACAAAGCATGGGTAGGACACACAGTGTGACTTCAAGTGCAGACTGGGGACTTTGAAGGGATTTGATTTCAGATCACTTCTGCCTCCTGCTCTGAGGATGTGGGCAAGTCACAGCTGCGTGGGTTACGTCATCCAGGCCTTTCCACTGTGGTCAGAAAAAGTCGAGATGACTTTGATTCTTTCAAATGTTGTAAAGTTTAGGTGTTGATTTAGGCTATGATCTGTCTTTATAAGTGAGTGAGCCCTGTGTGTTTGGAAGAATGTATATGCTGTCATGTGCCCTCTTTCCCTGGGATTGTAATCTATCTGTCTCTCTGTCTGTCTGTCTCTCTGTTCTTGGTCCTGGGGACTCAACTCAGGACCTCACATTTGCCAGGCAGGTGCTGCACCACTGAACTATATCCCTGGGCCCCATAAACTTTGAAAAAAGATTTTCTTCTTAGCCTCCACATGGCCTGGAAGAGCATCTAGCACAGAGGTGGCAAACCTATGGCACCCATGCCACAGCGGGCTGTTTGTATCATTGCTCTAAAAGGTTTACCATCAACTGACCTAGCATATAGTAGGTGCTCATTAAACTCATAATGAATGGTTGAGGGCTAGTGAGTATAGTAGCTGCTAATTGAAACTTCAGTGCTTACTCCAGCAGCACAGGTACTAAAATCAGAATGATACAGAGGAGATGTGTGTGGCCTTGGTGTGAGGGACGCACGTGGACTAATGCGGCCATCTGTGGTTTTTTCAGAGTGAACTCCAATATACGTACCTCAGATCAAACACTTTTCACTTCCAGGTCCGATATTTGGTGACCCAAGAGAAAACTTAGTAGTCTTGGGAGATAGAATTTCTTTCTTTCTTTTTTTTTTTTTTTGTTTGTTTGTTTGTTTGTTTGGCGGAACCGGGGATTGAACTCAGGCCCTTGTGCTTGCCAGGGAAGCACTTACTCCACCGAGCCATCTCCCCAGCCCCATAGAATTTCTTTCTAAAACTTTGTTACATTTTAAGTTTCATTTCAGGGACTAGGGAGATGGCTCAGCAGAATAAGCGCTTGCCTGGCAAGGACAAGGACCTGAGTTCAATCCCCGGTTCCACCAAAAAAAAGTTTCATTTCATGTTAATTTGCTTTTAAAGGCCAAAAGAAGTACTGAAAGGATCCCAAAAGTCCCTGAACATTCAGAATCTCAGCTGGCAGTGTCAGCCCTGGGGTGGGGGGCGCCTGGGTTTTCTGGAGCCTGGGTGCCCAAGGGACCTGGGACTGACATGCATGCCCATCTCTACCCAGGTTCCTCCAACCAGCTCCACGGCTGCTCCGAGAGCTTCAGCAGTGAAGACCTGATCCCAAGCAGGGACCCGGGCACCCTGGGACACAGCGCTCTCAGCCGCCATGAGTACCCCCCGCCCCGGAATGGGCCTGTCCCCCAGGCGGCTGCCCAAAAGAGGGGCCCGGCCACAGCACTTCCTGGGCTGCGGCCCTGCTCAGCCTCCCCCAGCAGCGAGATGGTCACCTTGGAAGAATTCCTGGAGGAGAGTAACCGCAGCTCCCCAACCCACGTGAGTGGCTGGGCCTCCTGTCTCCTGACTCCAGACTGCAGTCAGTCAGAAAGGGATGGGACGGGCCAGCCAGATAGCTCAGCTGATTAAAGCACCTGCTTAGGCAGCCACCGGGACTGGGGTTCGATCCCCGGCACCACAAACACTGCCCCCACCCCCGGGTTGCACTGAGACAGCCACTGAGACTGGGTGTGGTGGTGTGCACCTGTAATCCCAGCACTTGGGAGGTGAAGAGGATCACCGTGAGTCCAGTCTGTGTAGAAAGACCCTGCAGACCCTGTACTAAATACATTTTTAAAAAAGGGGCGGGTAGGTGGCGTGGGGAGGCCTGGTGCAGGATTGTGGCGAGACAGCAAGATACACAGGCCCGCAGATCACCCCCGGACCACAGGGGCTGCATGGGGAGCTGACAGAACCAGTGCCCACACCAAGGGAAGGACCTTGGCTGGCAGGCCACCTGCAGGTCAGGGTCTCACACTAGGTGTCCTGGCAGAGCTTGGACTGCCTCATTCCCCGCAGCTTTCCCAGCAGGGATTGGCAAACTGGAAGGCCCTGTGCAGGGCCAGGGAGCAAATGTTTAGACTTCCTGGGCGCTGGAATTCTGTTGGCGCTCTGCGGCGCCACTCAAGGAGAAGTGTGTGCTGTCCCCACGTGAGTGAACAGACTGGTGGCTGTCCGGCAGAGTTACGTTATGGGCGCTGGCATTTGAATTTCGTATTACAAAGTCCCCATTCATTCGTTCTTTTTTGTTTGTTTAAGTGATACTGGGAATCCATCACAGGGTCCTGTGCAGGCTGGACAGAGGCGCTGTCAGTAAACTACACTACTGGTCTAATTTAATTTTGTTTTGTTTTGTATTGTTTATGTTACAACAGGATCTCACTATTTTGTGCTAGTCCTGAATTCACTCTGTAGCCCAGGGTGGCCTCAAACCCACAGCGACCCTCTTGCTTCAACCTCCCAAGTGCTGGGTTTACAGGCATGCACCACGCCCAGTTTGACACTACTTTTTGTTGAGCAATTTGGGAATGAAAAACCTCTTAGTTGGGGGCCGGGGAGATGACTCAGTGGAATATGTACTTCCCTGGCAAGCGTAAGGGTTCAATCCCTGGTTCCGCCAAAAAAAAAAAAAAAAAAAAAACCACAGCCTCTTAGTTCACAGGCTATAGGAAAGCACGCGGCAAGCTGGGCCCCGCGTTAACCCCTACTCTGTGCCCTGCCCCCACATGTCCACCCAGTGATGGAAACCCACTCGCCACTTTGTGCAGCACAGTGTCACGTTGTGTGCCACCTCTGCCTTATGTGCTGAACTCTGTAGCAGATGGTTCCAAGGCAGGGTGGCACGTGGCAGAGAACAGCAGTGGAAGGTGGCGGAAGACAGCAAAACAGCGAGAGCAAGAAGTAGAGGCGAGCAGGCCTCTTTCTCCCTTACACTGCACACCGGCCATCTGCCCACGCCACCTCCTGGACCTACTTTTCCACCTGCCACAAGCTCAGGATGTTTACAGAGTGAGCACCCTGGCCCCCTGCTGAGTCATCCCCCCCATCTTAGGGAGGGTCTACAGAGTGTTCAGAGTCTCGCTACTAGATGGGGCTCGTAGTGATCCACCTGTTTATAGCCTCCCAAGAGCTGGGATTACAGGTATGCGCCACCACGCCCAGTCTCTGCTGAGTCAGGTCTCAAACTTCAGCCATTATGTGGTCCTTGTCCTCCTTCAATCCCTAGGACATTGGTCCCCACTGGTTTCCTGCACCACGTGCCCCGACACAGCCTCATGTTCTTCACATTCAGGCTCCTGAGGCAGACAGTACCTCTCAACTGGAGAAATGACAGAGCCCCCCACGTGTCCCTTACCCCCAAGTGTTAATGGTGCTGGAACTGCCTTGGTGGCCCAAAAGCATGGTCTGCAGGTGTCAGGGACTTGAGCACATTCTGACCCAGTGCTTGGCTGTAGGAACCCAGACACTGGTGTCATAGGAGAAGTGAATAGATGAGGTGATGGCCAGCAAGGGGACTGGGAGGAGAAAGAGGGGGGTGGGTAAAGGACAGTGAATTCTGGGACGTTCTGGGGTCCCATAGCAGCAGAAGGGGGTGAGACTTTACAAGTATGACACTTTTCATGAAGAGCTAGAAGATGGGAAGGCTCCAAAGGAAGGAACACTTGGTGTAAAAGGAGCTAGGAGTGCTAGTTACCTGGCTGGAGCACTGTGTGTCATAGACACGCATGAAACCATCACGTTGAGCCCCATAATGTGCAATTCTTACGAGTGAATTAAAAAATAAGTGTGTAGAGAGATGCCGATGAGTGTAGAGAACAGCCCTGGTTTTAACCCCCTGACCTGTTCCTCTGGGTTCCTGGCCCTCTTGACCTGTAGAACCTAAGTCTGAGCCTCACAGGTAGGGGTTGTTTTGTTTTGTTTTGTTTTGTTTTGTTTTTTGTATTTTTAGGGAAGGGTCTACAGGGTGTTCAGGGTCTCACTACTAGATGGGACGGACTCGTAGTGATCCGCCTGTTTACAGCCTCCCAAGTGCTGGGATTACAGGCGTGCCGCCACGCCTAGTCTCAATCTCAATCTCAGCGCCCCCCGGGATCAAACACAGGTAGTTTTATACATCCTTCACAGCACCCTCCCAGGCTGCTGTGAGAATTAAGAGCGTGCTTTAGCGTGTCACCATGGGTGGTTCACCATGCCCCTGGGTGTTGGGCTTCAGCACTCACTGGATGCCCCAGGGGTCTATGGTAATGCAGGAGAACACAGTGCTGTCAGGTCCCTTAACTATGCTCAGGGGCAAGCTCTTAGCAGGTTCAGACGGCTGTACAGGGGCACCCCAGCAGGTCCCAGCAGGCGAGGATCTGACTCCCATCAGCGGGCAGCCTCTGACCTCACGTCCTGCCTGCATGGTCTCCCTCGCTCCCTGCCCGTCAGCCTCAGGAGGCTGTTCTGCCTGGCCTTGCCTCTGCTACGCTGGAGGGGCTGAGCAGAGTCAGAGACCTTGGCTTCTAGGCTGGGGCGAAGGACGCCTGCTCCTTGGGCCAGGGAGGCAGAGCTGAGACAGCCCGCTGCCCTGGTGCCTCTCCTTCCCATTCAGCCTCCTCACTGTCCCTGCTGCTGTGCCCTCTGCCCCTGGGGCTCCCAGCCACACCCCTCCCCTCTGCCTGCCTCTTCCCTTTCTCAGAGCATGAGAAAGGTTGGTGTGGCAGTGAGCATTCTGGCTTGCCAGACACAGGGCTGTCCTTGTCCTTGTGATGTTCCTGGACCAGCTGGAGTCCCGGTCACAGCAGTAGCTTTGTAGCTGCTGCTCTGCCTGGTGGAAAAAAGGGAAACAGATTGAGCCAGTGTAGTCAACCCCTTTTCTTTCTGGGTCTGTTTCCTTATTTGTAAAGTTAGCAGGCTGCCGGAGTGGCTCCTGGAACACTTTCCCCTTGCCTCTGGGCCCTTGTGCTGTAGACCTGGCAGGGGCAGGAAGTCCTGGCTGTGGGGCCCCTGTGCACCTGGTGGGAGGAGGCTCCCAGGACCTGCAGGCCCTCACTTCCCCCTCTATTCTTGCTCTCTCTGCTGTAGGACACTCCCTGCTGTCGGGATGACCTGCTAAGTGACTACTTCCGAAAGGCCAATGATCCCCCTGCCATCGGAGGCCCACCCGGACCTCCTGCCAGGAAAGAGGGCACAAAGATGCCCACGAGCTTTGTGGCTCCCACCATCAAGACAGCCATCAGCACCTCCGAGGGGAGACAGTTGAAACCCGGGCATTATGTGAAGCCGAACTTCAGACTGGCTGAGGCAGAGGTCCCTGCAGGAGCCTCCCCAAGACAGGTCCAGCCCCCCCAGAGCCTGTCTTTGGGCAGACCCAGGCAAGCCACCGTGTCCCCTGCTTCCCACGCCCCTGCCAGCCGGAGCGCATCCCTGAGCCGTGCCTACAGCCTGGCTTCTGCTGACCTTCTCCGGGCCAGTGGGCCAGAGGCCTGCAGACAAGAATCCCCTCAGAAGCTGGGGGTTCCTGAGGCCTCCGGGGGCAGAGAAACAGGCAGCCCTAGCCTGCAGAGCCCTGTGCCTCCCGGCTCCCACGGCCTGGCACGGGAGCGGACCTCCCAGGCAGGCAAGGCTGATGGCCCCTGCCAAGGCCCAGGGCCCCGCAGCCGGCCACCAGACACCAGGCGCTTCTCACTGGCCCCTCCAAAGGAAGAGAGGCTGGCACCTCTGCAGCAGTCTGCCACAGTCCCAGCCATTGCCACTACTGCAGGTGGCAGTGGCAGCAGCTCCCAGCACTTCTCACCTGCTGCATCCTCCAGGACCAAGCCCAAAATGCCTCCACACTGCGGGGAGGTAGCCACCATTGCCCCTGTCCGGGCAGGGCTCAGCCTGTCAGAGGGAGACAAGAACCAGGGGCTGGGCCACACTGAGGGGCTCCTGGCCAAGAGCCCTGGTAGGTCCCCTGACCTGGCTCCCCATGCCAGCCGGGGCCCTGAGGATTTCAGCCGCGGAGGCAGCTTGGAGAGCACCTCCGCATCCCCAGAGCCGGGCGGGGACCAGCAGACCGTGTGGTATGAGTACGGCTGTGTGTGACTGTCCCGTGCGCCAGCAGCAGCTCCTGAACCCTAAACTACTGACAAGGCTTCCGATCCTGAGGTCTTTCCTCCTGTTTGCGTCTGTGGTGCCGGGAAAGGGTTTAGAATGGAAAAGGGGTTCCTACACAACTGGCCCAGTTGTCTTGTAGAAGAAAGCACTGTGCCAAGTCCTAAGAGGAACACTCTCCTAGGTGTGTGTCACGTCTTCTGTGTCTACAGCTTCCAGTAGCTGGAGTCTTTTGACAAATCTAATTAGCATGGGGACCACTTAGAAAGCAATGATAAAACCCACTTACCCCAAAGCAGACACTATTCAGTGGGCCCTGGTAGAACGCTCGTTGGCAACCTGTTAACCTCCATTTGCGCACTCACACACCAGGCTCACGCTCACAAGGTGGGTTCACCTGGTGGCTCTGGAAAGTCCCACTCCCAAAAGCCATTAGATCCCAGGGGAAGCCCAGACTTGCCAAACTACCGAAATGTGGAGGGCTGTGAACAGAGCTCATCTTGAGCAGACTTCAAAACCCAGGTGCATTACCATCCTGTCCCTGGGATTGACACTCCCCAAGGCAGCCTTCAAGGCCCATTGTGAGTGGCCTGGGGCACTTGCCTCCCTCCCTCTAGCCCCAGGCCTCTGCACGGTGGCCTCAGAGACCAGCCTCCATGGCCTTCTATGTGTCACCTTTCTACAAACACTGGATCTGCAGGGCCTGCGGCATGAGGGACGCTCCAGCCCTGGCCCTGCAAGTGTGGCGCCCGGAGGGGAGGAGGCCTGTCTGTAAGCAAGGTGCACGCTTGGTTTGTGACATGACCTTGGTTTGTGACATGACCGCAGCTTCCAGCTTCCCCTGTCGCAGATGGGATGTTGATTTATTTCTGAATAACTCCAGAGTAGAAACCAAATTTTTTTTAATATATTACTTATGTATACACTGGTAAAATATATATATGGGGGGCTCTATTTATGTTCTATGGAGAGTCATTCTTTTCTATTGGGAATCTTACCTGCTGCTCTGTGTATTTGGTCAGATTCCTGACATTTACTTTCCTATCATAAAGGTGCTTTTCCTGGGATGGACTAAACCAATTGACTTTATTAAAAGATTGTTTTTCCCTTTGGATTTAATGGGATGAGGAAGAAACAAGACTTGAATGTTAACAAGATCCACTGTAGAAGTATTGCGGGTTGTGTGTTAAATAGCCATTTGTTCTGGAACACAAGGGCAGGGTCGTAATAAAACAGAACGGAACAGAAATGAGCCCTCACTTTCCTTACAGCACATAATCAGCAGCATTGCGCAGGCTGCGGCGAGCTCAGGCTCCCTGCTTGGGCGCCCTGGTCTTCTTGGCCTTAGAGGCCGTAGCTGGCTTTGCCAGTAGGTGCGTGGCCTGCCCCACAGCTGACCAAGACAGATGTGAAAAGCAAAGTTTCTTATACAAATCCCCACCACCTCCATTCTGTCCCCCTCATGTTGCATTTAAGTCAGCATAAGCCAAATCCACCCCTCTCCCATGCTGGGACTTGAACCTAGGGCCTTGCACATGAAGGCTAATCGGGCAAGGGCTGTTCTACTGCGCTACACTCCCAGCCCAACTGGATCCCTTTTGCACATGGAGTTTGCCTCCTATTGGAGACAGCTCAGCTTGATTTTCTGAAGATTGCTCAGGACCTTGGGGCCTTCCAGCAAGAGAACACCTGAAGTCACCAGAGGCCCACATTCCCTAGCCAAGGCAAGTTACCATAGTGCTGATGCACTCACCCTAAGTGACCTTGGAAGCACCCCCCCCCTCCCTGGTAGCAGCCCCACCCAGCCTCCACTGGCTCATCTCCAGACACACCCAGGCCTCTCACCAGCCCTCACCTCCTGGACAAGCTTGTGCACATTGACACCTCTAATTACTGACTTCCAGAAGGCTTCAGACCGCCATCTCCAGCCCCAGCCTCTTTGGAACTGCACCTGTGTGTGTCCAGCTCAAATGTCCCAAAGTCACCTGCAGCTCAGGATGTCTGACACTTGGCTCACACCCTCCCAGAGCTGGGCCTCCATCTCCCATCTCGCCACCCCTATGCTGATACTCCTCTGATACCTCCCTCCACCTTTGCAGCATCCATCCATGACTCCACCAGCTACTTTCAACCCTGAGACCACAGCCAGTCCTAGGTGATGACAGCGCCCTGGGTCACTGGCCAGAGGCACCACATCATAGCCCCATGAGTCTCAGACCTTACCTCTGAATTCAGATGATGAGTGGGTATCTGTGAAGTGCCTAATGCTGATGGATATTCATGCCTATGTCTCCAGTAAAATCTGGCTGCTGAAAGACTTGAGGTCAGGGGCCAGGGAGATGACCCAGTAAATAAGTGCTTGCCTGGCAAGCAGAAGGGCCTAAGTTCAGAGGGCTGGGGAGATGGCTCAGTGGAATAAACACTTCCCTGGCATGTGCCAGGACCTAAATTCAATCTCTGGTTCTGCAAAAAAAAAAAAAAAAAAAAAAAAAAAAAACAGCCTAAATTCAATCCCTGGTTCTGCAAAAAAAAAAAAGACAAGATCATCAGTACAGCAAAGGGGGCCTCTTTGGAGAGGACATCAGGAAATTGGGAAGGGCGGGGCATGCACTTCAGCATCCTGCCTCTTGCTGGGGGGTGGGTATACGTACAAATTCTATTGCTAGAAGGGATGTGGAACAGTGTACACTGTACAATAATACATTTCATTATAAAATCAATACAACCAATTGATCCTCACAAGCCTGTTGATTTCTACCACACTTTTATGTCTGGAGCTAATCTCCATGCAGCCTATTCATGACAAGTGGCCACATTCCCAGTGTGAATGTTGGTTAATGTTTTCTGTGTGACCAAGACAGATAAAAGGGGAACAAGTCAAAGGCCTGTGTCAGACTTCATTGATGATATGCCTGACCTTGCTGAATCAAGTAGTTCCTTTTTTTTTTTTTTTGATGGGACTGGGGATTGAACTCAGGACCCTGCACTTGCCAGGGAAGCGCTTATTCTACTGAGCTATCTCCCCAGCCCCCCAAGTAGTTTCTTAATGCTGGAAACGTTTGTTCCCGCAGTTTTGTGCTATTCACACTGTGATGCCCTTATATGGCATGTTTATTTAAAATAGTGATATGATTCATATTGCATAATATATGTTGCACCCACTTTTAAATTTATATTAACATTTTCTCTATTGCTGTCTTAAGTCAAGAGACTTAAAAACACAAATCAAGCCCTGAATGTAACATTTGCTCATTTCCGTGGTGTAAATAAACACTGTGCATGGCTGGCTTCAAGCTGCAGAGTGAAGTCCTTGGCTGGGGTGGGCAGGGACCGTCCAGACATGATGGTGTAAATATCCCTGAGGCTTAGGACTAGTAAAATGGAAGCACTGAATATTTCAGTATGACCTTCGCTTTTAGTAAGTTATTTGCTTATACGTTTACATAAATTCCTTTTTAATAATGGTCCTGTAAATAACTGGTTGCAAAAATTCCTGTAGGGGCCGGGGAGATGGCTCAGTGAAACAAGCCATTTGCTTCCCTGGCAAATGCAAGGGCCTGAGTTCAATCCCTGGTTAGGAAAAAAAAAAAATTCCTGGAAACTCACTAGTCTGCTCCCACAAGACAGAGCCCCCACACACACACACACACTGGGGGGACAGGAAACAGAAGGTGGAGAAAAGGAAGATGAGGGAGGCAGGGCAGTGTGACATTTTCCCAAGCAGCTGCTCTCATCCAGCTGGGATGGGGAGATGGGCAGACTCGGTGGTACCTTAGTTTTCCTTCCCTCCTGTCTCCTAGAGTGGCCAGGAGAGGGGTGGGTCAAAGGGACCAGATTCTAAGTGTCTGATAATGCAGGCTGGGGTGTCCCGAGTAGAACACCCCACATCCACTGCGCTGCCCGGCTACGCCTGGCACGCGGTGACTTCGCCACCTGGGCTGTCTGGCAGCTGTCTCCAGCTTCTCACCCCCTTAGCCTTCTCCAGGGAGCAGAGCCAAAAGTGTAGTAGGACACCGGGCTCCATGTCAGTGGGCAACCTGAGGTCAGCCAGAGCCCAAGGGCGGGGTGTCCCTGCAGCGACGCCTGGTGAGGGAGGGAGGCCTGGTGAGGAAGGGAGTCGTGGCGGAGCTCAGAATTGTCCTCTTTCCAAGTTCGTAGCTCTTCACACTTCAGTCTGAGCTGGCAGAGACAAAAGGAGCCACCTGCAGTCCACTTCCCTGCCCCCACAAAGAGACCACACAGGTGGGGGAAGGAATTCCTAGGCTTGGGACCCTCGGGGCTCCTGCAAGCTCCTGGTGCCAGAAAAGAGGTCAGCTCCGCACTTCCCAAGGCCGCGCCCTCGGGAGCCCTAGCGGGGCGGGAGTGGGGGTGGGGTTTTCTTTCGAATCCTCACACCGGGAACGATCGCGCCTCAGCCTCCTGCAGCTCAGCTTGGGCAGGCGACCGGATCCCAGCGGGGCCCGGCCCAGACGCCAGACCCCTGAGACCTGGGGAAGCGGAGCCAGGTGAGTGCGCAGCCGGCAGCGGGGCGGAAAGCTCGCGAGGGGCGGGAACTTTGACCTTCAGCAAGGGCCTCCCAGGGTGTTCTTCCTGCGGGCCCTGAGGGCGGAAAATTCAAAACCCAGTCCCGAGACGAAAGGCTTTAGCGGAAGTTGGAGGGAAGGGCCGCCTGGCAAGTTGGCCCCTGTATTCTAGGATCCATGTGGATGGGCGCAGCCACCCACTGGCGTGCTGTTACCTGGGTTGTGTTTCAGGGCACAGCAGACCGCGGTCAGGGCAGGTCTCAGAAGCCCAACACTATCCAGGCATGTGGGGAGGAGACACCAGATTCTAGTCCCTCAGGGACTCCAGGGAGGTTGGAGAGGGAGCAGCCTGGTCATGTTGGCTACCAGAACCAAGCTAAGGCGCCCCCTCAGTATGCCTGGCCCTGGGCCCCGGGGAGATGGCTCGGTAGGGTAAGCGCTTGCCTGGCAAGCACAAGGGCCTGAGTTCAATCCCTGGTTCCACCAGTATGCCTGGCCCAAGGCGTAATCCCTGAGCCCCACCAAGCACAGGGCAACTGCTGGGTGAACCACGCTCTGCAGTCTCCAAGCTGCTTCAGGTTGGAGTCACCACTTCCAGAGGGCAGAGGCCCTCGCTTCCCCAGCCTGTTGGGTACCAGTCCTGAATCCCCTGCCTCTCATCTGCTCTCTACCTAAGCCCAGCCCCACGAGTTTTGCGAGTGTGTGTGCGCATGCTTGGGTGGGCATGGTAGTGCCTAAGAATGATATAGGAGAATGAAACTCCCAACCTGAAAAGGTACCTGGGATGGGTTCATGCTCTCTAAACCCAAAGAATTAATTTTAGGAATAAATGGAGGTTAAGAGCAGAATGTTGAGGGAAAGAAAGCTTCTGTCCAAGAGTCAGACACAAGGGGGAATCTGGGGTTTCTAGGGATCTTTACAGCGCAAAACCATATGGTGAGGTGGGTGTAAGGTGGATAACACAGGGAACTCGCTTAGGCATACATGAGGTGGTGATACATGAACCTCCAAATGACACAGGGATGGGGCTGGTGAGATGGCTCAGTGGTCTAAAGCACCTATTTAGAATAAGCTCAGCAAAGCACAGAGACCGCAGTTCAATCCCCCAGCACCACATGCCAGCCAGCCCCGCCCCCTGGTGGGCTGAGCTGGCCACACACACACACACACACACAAATAAATAAAATTTAAAACAAAACAAAAAAAAAAAATGACACAGGGAGAAAAATGGTCTCCTAACCTAAAAGGTACCTGGGATAAGTTTGTGTTCTCCAAAAACAAAGAATGAATTTTAGGACTAAACGGAGGTTATGAGCAGAATAGATTTATTGGGGGGAAAGAAAGCTCCTGTCCAAGAGAAGGACAAGAGGAGGGCGCCCAAGTGGGTGGTCCCTGGAAAGCTGTCTTTTCCAGGGACTTTTATAGAGGAAAACCATGCGGTGACTTGGGTCTAAGGTGGGGGAGAACATGGGAACTCACTTAGGTGGGCATGAGGTGGGACAAAACTATGGTCAACCAATGAGATTGCAAGCACCATTGCTCAGGTAAAATTGATTAAATCCAGTACCAAATGGGGAAGCGAGTCAAGTAGCAAGCAGGCATGAATACAGGACAAGGTCTTTTCCTGTTGTAGGGTTGGGTTAGTGGCTCTTCCTGGATCTTTCAAGGTGATTGATACCTATTTGTTTATTTATTTTTTAATGTATTTAGTACAGTGTTTACAGGGTCTCACTATGCAGATCTGACTTGTAGTGATTCTATTTTCAGCCTCCCAACTGCTGGGATTACAGGCACACCACCACACCCAGTCTTAATTACATGCCCCAGGGGCATGGCTGGATGGCACACCAGGATGGAACCCCCGACTGCAGCGCTCTGCCTAAACAGGTGCCTTATTACGCTGAGCTATCTGGCCGGCCCGATACCTATTTAGAATATCAGTCCCTGATGCCTATCCACAGGGAAGTCTGTGGCTGCATTTGTTTACTGTTTTGTCTTGAGATTCAGCCCTCAACAGGAGTGTCTGTCTCTTCCAAAGTTGCAAAGTCACCTTATCTTCCATACTGTCTCCTTGAGGGCCTGGCCCTGACTGCCTATAATATTTCTATCTAGTTTAGCTGTCTTCAACAGGAAAGAGTCAGGCCCCATCAGGGAGAAAGACTCAGTGCCTTTTACTGTCAACTGGACCCCAGTGGTCAGTTCCAGGACAAGGGGAAAAGCCCACTCTTGATTCTGTTGCACTTTTTTTTTTTTCTTTTGATCTTTTTGAGACAGAGTTTCATTATGCAATTCAGGATGGAACTCACTTTGTAGCCCAGGCTGACCTCTAACGTGCAGCATTCCTCCTGCCTCAACCTTGAAAGTGCTGGGATTACAGGCATGCACCGTCACACCAGGTCACTTAGATTATTTTTAAAAGAAAATCATGTCCACTCCTGGAAATGGGAAAGTCTGTACCACCTGTAGCTTGAGAGAGACAATAAGACAAGGGAAATCATGCAAGGCTGTTACTCCAGTGCTTGCTGCCTGCACAGCACTCCCAGGCCTGCGTCTCTAGGTTATAAAGGGAGCTGAGAGCGAATTCTACTACAACTGATCCAACTAACACCTTCTCCTTTGTATAATCCCATAAGGAGAGAATTAGACTAGGATGACAAAAGCAATCACTGAACCCAGAAAATGCTGGGAGTAAGAGAACAAAGTACAGACCATTCTGTGGGGGGAGTCTGAGGCAGGGGTGCTGCCTCCAGGAGGCAGCTCCTGGCAGAGCCAGGAAAGTTCCTGCCTGCCGTGTATCTCAAATCCGTCCACATCCTCCCCCAGCCTCCATACACCAAAGTCTTATGGGCTTCAGAGGAGGCCAATATTATGGTGCAAACAAGGACAATCAGTTGCCATGGACCCAGCTCACTGACACAAAGAAGCCTTCATACTTTGAGGAGCACAAAACAAGCCCTCCACAGGCACTGATGAAGGACAGAAGGCTTGACATTTATGGAGTACTTGCTTTGGCTGGCACCGTTCTAAGAGCTTTAGACTTATTAGCTCAGTACTGCAGTGCTGCGAGGTACCATCATTACCCCCATCTTACACATAAGGAAATAGGCACAGAAAGGCTGGGGAACTTTCCCAGGGTCACGCAGCCAGTGTGTAGAAGAGCCAAGATTTGAGTCACTCTCCACAAACAGAGAACAAAGGCAGAGGCTGGCCACAGCTGCTCAAACAGCCTCCGTGTGGCCCATTCTACTTTGGCCAGCAAAGTCCACTTGTGCCTTTCCAACGTGACCCTCTCTCACCACACCTGCTAGGCTGGGCTGATTTCTAAGTCCACCAGATTTCACGGGTGTATCTTTAGGTTTTTTCTCTTACGTGGATCTTCCTATTAACTCAAATTAAAATAGAAACTAAAACTGAGAGGAAATTGGGTAGCTTTCAGAGGCTGGAGGAAAACAAGAACTTTGGGGTGCGAGCCCAGGTGCTCAGCCGTGCAATTTCCCTGCACATTCCCGATCCCAGAGTACTACCCTGAGCAGCCCAAAGCCTCCCTCCTGGAGTTCCAAGTCCGTTCAAGAATGTGACACGGGGAGATGGCTCAGTGGAATAAGTGCTTCCCTGGCAAGCACAAAGGCCTGAGTTCAATCCCCGGTTCTGTAAAAAAAAAAAAAAAAGAATGTGACACGGACTCCCCACCCCTCCAGATGTGTGTGCTCCACTGTTGGCCAACAGCCTCAGCATTTCCTGCCTTTGGGTGTCCTCATTACTCAGTCTGAGAGCCCCCGGATTATGTGAGGGGGAACAGAAACAACTTTGTGGTGTTCTTCAGGTTGTTTGATGCAGGCCTGAGCCCGCTGGAGTGTGGTTGATGCCAGAAGTGCCCATTCTGAGGGCGACCAGCCTCCCCTGGGATGGACTTGATTCAGCAAGGGTGAGTACTCTGGAGGAAAGGTCCACCTGTGTGAGCAGTGGGTGCTCTGCCCCAGGCCACTCATGGTGACAGGAAGCCCAGGGCAGGGACCTCAGCACGAGGAGGTTTGGGGCAGAAATGAGCTGGCGCTGCAGCCCAGCGTGGGGAGGATGCAGCTTGGGGCCTCGTTCTATTGTTTAGAGGATAAAGAAAGCTTTCCTCTGAGGCTGGCTGGCCAAGCTAATTGGAAGAATGAACGGGGAAAACAGTAATTTTTTCAAGTAACTAAGCCAGGCACGTTCTTCAAGCCGTGCTACTCTTCCATAGGTGAGCGTACAGTGAGTTGGCAGCGAAGCTTCTGCATCAGTCTGAGTCTCAGCAGGACGTGGGGACTTGGAAGAGGAGGTCACACAAAGGTGGGGATGACAGAGACAGTGCAGCACCCTGGGAGCTACGGCTGTCCCTAGGCCTACAGGAGGAGGGGAGAGAGGCGAGCATGAAAAGGACTCCCGCTGGAGTTGATGTCTGTGGCGAAGGGCGACAGCCAGCCGTGGCAGGGGGATAAAACCCCCGATATCCCTGCTCTCTCCCTGTCCTTTCTCTCTGGGGAGACCTTCCCATTGGCCAAACACAGCACAAGTCGGAAGCCAGGAGCTGGGGACGCAGCCTTCCACAGGGGAGGGTTGGCCTGGGCAAAGGGGGTCTCTTTCACATAGATCTTTGGCTTCCTTTTCCTGGGCCTTTGAAGGGTATCTTTCCATGTCTGGCACCAGAAAATGCACTAGACAAGCTGTCCTCAGGCTCAGAGTAAAGACTGTGCCTTTAGGCAAAAGGCCAGGATGAAAAAACCCGCAGGAGACTACAGAAGAGCAAAAGAATCGAACGTCACTCATACCCAGAGTGGTGAATTTCTGACCATGTCTTTGGAGCCCAGCCCAACGTGGGAGAGGAATTCTGTGGGCAAGAAAGACAGTTATTAGTGCAGTATTTCAAATCAGCATTCTCAGCATGGGCCGTAATTTACCAATCTCTAGGCTCAGGAAGTTTCTGGAAAGTCAGGGCATGCTTCATTTTAAAAATAAGTGAAGCTGTGTAGTTGGAGTTAATTCATCTTAGCTGTTCATCATTTCATAAGCCTGATGTTGCGTGTCATTTACGAAACAACAAATTCTACTGCCCCTGCCAAGGACTGGACATCTTAACGCCATAAACCACAACGAAACAAGGCCAGCCGATGACAGAGCAGGCAGAACAAGGAGTTTCTCTGCCTTTCCAATCCTAGCATTTTCTTAGGGCCAGAAATAAGAGACCTGCAGTCCACTTGCCAGTTCCACATTTTTAAGTAACTAGAATAAAAGTCAGGTGTTGTGCTTCCAAAAAGTGAAACATGAATCAAAAGAGAACTTACTTCAGAGTTCTTGGGCAGTATAAGGCCCTGCACATACGCACATTTGGGTGTCTATAAACAGCCATTGCGGGACAGAAAAGCGAAAGGGAGAAAGGCCGCCACCGTGCTGAGCCAACTCCAGCAATAGCCTCCCAGGAACTGTGCAGCCTGGGGGCCCTGTGTTATTCACTGTGAAATCAGCTTTCCACTCAGCCTGCACTGGACTTCAGAGAGTCAGATTCCTGGATCTGGCAAGTGGCCACAGGCCTTCGGACACACCTCTCTGGAGGGCTGAGGGCCAGGCAGAAGATAGGTACTGCAAGACACAGCTTCGGGGGCTCAGCTCCTGGCTCAGTCCTTGGGAATCGAGTAGCCTTGGATAATTTGTGGAGCCTCAGTTTCCTGACCTGTGAAGTAGATACACTGAAACTCCTTGTGTTAGAGTGACAGGAGGCCATGCATAGACACTTAAAGATACAGCAGGCATTCAAAAACAAACAAACAAACAAAACAACAGGGTATTTGGAGTCTATGATAACAACAATAGTAACAGCTGTTGAACCCTCATATGTGTTAAGCCGGCTATGCTAATGAGAAGAATGAACTGAGAGTGACTTGGTTTAACTCATATAATCATCTTAGTGCCCTTTTAAGTAATGTCCCCATTTCACAGGCTAGGAGATGGGCACACAGAAGTAAGAGACTGGTCCGAGGTTGTCTTGCCAGTAAGTAGCAGACTTGGAATCCACATTCAGACATGCTGGTTTTCAAAGCCAAGCTCGTGAGTAGGCAGTGTGGCAGTGTTTTAAAACTGCATTTTCTGCAGTTTGTGAAGATTTTGCAAGGAAAGAGGATTTCAAAATGGAGACCAGCAGAGGAGGCTGATCCAGCTCTTGGAAGTGCCTGTTGTCAGGCTGCTGGGCTGGTGTCAGCGGGTGAGCAAAACCCTCTTCTTCCCCTTGCTATTCTGCCTCCCTTGCCAGAGTACCTTCTGTGCTCCTACACATGGCCCATCCTCACCTAGGCTCACCAATGGCCAAGTCCCAGCTCTGAACCACCAGCCAGGTTGGCAGGGAGATGTGGTGGTGTCCACCCGCCCCCACCTGCATGCCTACCCCACCGCCGAGCCATCTGTCCTGAGCCCAAGCACGCCAGCTTCTGCAGACTCCCTCAGTGACCAGTTCCAGACATTCACCTCACAGACAGGAACAGGGACACCATGCTCCAAGCAGGGCACTGGGCCCAGAGCAAGGGCCCTGCAGATCTGATCCTGGCAGGCAGTGCAAAGAACGCTGGGAGGCGTGTCACGGGAGGACAGTGGGGACTCAGCTCACATTGCCTGAGACAGCCAAGAAGCCTCCCTAGGAGAGGTGACTTTTGAGTCTTAGAACCAGGAAGAGTGCTCAGAGATGGAGATAGGGAGGCTTCTTACCATAGAACTTCAGGAGCCAACCTGTGCCGCTGTGAAAGACAGTGCAGAGGAAACAGGAACATCGTGTGGGACGGGCAACAGTGGTGATGAGGCCTGTGGACCCAGCTGCCTAGCTTTCAGCCTCAGCACCTCCACTTCATAATCATGTGACCTTGAGTGTGTTATTTGACCTTGCTGTGCCTTATTCTTCCACACGAAAACTACCTGTGTAGGGATGCAGTAATAGCAGTGTGCATTTCCTAGAGTCTGAGGATCCAACCAGTTAATGCATTTAAGAGCTTAGAACTTAAAAAGAAAAAGAGAGCTTAGAACTTAAGGCACAAAATAATCACTCAACAAATGCGAGCTGTAACTATTATTATTTATTGATTATGTGGGGCAGAGGGCACTAAGGCCTTGTATTCTCAACGTAACCAGATCATCACATGGCTCCTAGAACCTCCGCTGCAGACACACAGGCTGTGGGGTCCAGGAGGTAGGGTAAGGGCAGAACCCCAGACCTCCTAGCCTGGCACTGAGCTCAAGGGAAGTGCAGAGGGGCCTAGAACCGCAACACTGACTGAGTGGCTTGTGACGGGCCATGAGCTGGGGACACTGCAAACTCAGAAAGCCCCCTCTGCAGCATCTACTCTTCTCACTTGGGCCTTGCCCGGCAGAGCCTGAGCCCTCAGCCAGGGGCGCTGGGAGTGCCGTGGCCAGAGAGGAGCCCTTGTGCTTTTGGAGCCAGGTCCATGCTCCACCCATGCAGCTCTCTGAGCCTGTCCTGGGTCCGGTCAGAGTGCTAGGGGTAGGGGCTCTACCTCCTGCCTGCACTGCAGCAGCCTCCTGGGCCTCCCTGGTAGGCGCCTCACCTGCGGCGCCTGCGGCGTGCGGTCGGTGTGAAAGGCAGGGTGTGAACCGACAGGTCTAGATGTGCCTGACTGGGGGTGGGAACCGGAGGAATCGGGCACAACGTGGCCCTGGCTTCTGGGGGAGAGCCGGGGCCTCCGCAGGCCACTTGTGCCTGCCGCGTGCGCACTGGCAGGAAGCGGCCGGGTCCTAACACTGTTGCAGAGCAGGTACATGAGCCGGCGAACTAAGCTCTTCCTCTCGCAGGTCTCTGGCACGATAGGCGCCGCTGCGGGGTTCTAGGCTCTGACTGCAGGCTCTGTGCGTGCGTCCCCGGGAGCGCACGCCCAGGTTCGTGTGCGCGCAGGGCGGGAGCTAGAGCGCGGCGGGCGCGGGCGCGCCCAGGCCGGCACCCTGCAGACCCCGCGGTGGCTGAGAAGCTCGGCGTCTGTCCCGAGCGCCGGCGCGACCAGGGTGTCTGTCGTGGGTGGAGAGTCTCCGCCTGCGGTCGCCGCTAGGCGACCTCTCTCGGCTGCCTGCGTAGCCACCTAGTAATTACTTCCCCGCAAAGAAGTGTAAGATCGCTAACCCTTCATTTCCCAGAGCTCGGCGCGGCGGGCAGCCCAGAGATTTCACTTAGGACTTTTCTTTCCCTCCCCCAGATCATCCCGGTCCCTCTTCTGCAAAAGACACTTGTCACACCCAGTGGGCCTGAGGCTGCCCTCAGCAGACACCCTGCCGCCGAATGGATGCCAGGCCCCCTCTGCGGTAATGAAATGGTCCGGTTGAGAAGGCAGTGGCCCAGGGTCCCCAAGCCCAAGAGCAGTGACTGCGGTGGCCAGATGCTCTGTCAAGGAAGCAAGGGAAGAGAGGTCTCCAGGGATTTCGCGGGCAGGACAGAGCTCTGACTTGGAACTGGAGGCTGCGTGGCTTTGCAGGTGACTAGCAGTGATTGCAGTGGAGGTGGACACTAGGCAGGGCCGCCTCACAGAGGGGTGTGAGGACCAAAGAGGCGCAAGAGTGCTTTGAAACCCCGCAGATCTCAGCTGTTGATAGGGTTGTGTTTCGCCTCACTCCTGGGGCCTCCCCTTTCCTCTCCCAAGGGTAAACTTGCAAGAGGCAGAGGGGAGAACTTCCGAGGTCAGCAGAAAAAGGCGTGTGATGCTGTGGGCTTGTGGACTGAAGTATTTTCTGTGGAGACCCTTCTTACTGCGTCCACATCCTGTCCCTTCCTTTTGTTAGAGCTATTACCTTGGGCAAATCACCCCTTTCCTTTTCCTTCCCTTCCTTTCCCTTTCCTCCCCACCTTTCCTCTCCCCTATTCCCTTTCCCCTTTTGTAAGCTGGAGGTTAAACCAAGGCCTTAAGTCTGCTAAGCACACACCCCACCACTGAGCTACACCCTAGCCTAAATCAACTGTGTTTACACCTTGGTGCCTTTTTCTGAAAAATGGGTATGACCATCCAGTATACTCGATAGGGTGATACAAAAATCACATGGGTGACACTCTTAGCAGGAAAGCCTTGCCATGCCCCTAAATGGCAGCTCTGAGGATCTGTGCTTTTATTCTTGTGGGTAAAGCGCACACTGGGGGTGGGGGAGAAGGCTCACGTAGCAGGAAGCAGAGTGGGAGGGATGAGCCGTCCGTGTTAGCAGCAGGGCAGGTGAGGATGGTGGTGACGGTGAATGACAGTATATGAGCTTAGCATCAGAATTCCTGTTTCAGCCTTCCGGGCTGGCCGGCCTCAAATGAGAGGCTTTGCTTTTCTAAGCTTTGCTGTCTTATGGGAGAACGCAGATAGTAATATCCACCTCATAGAATGGTTACGAACATTAAAATCAAGTAACTGTACGGGTGAGTCCAGCTTATGATAGCTTCAAGTTAGTTCGGGAAAAATTAATATTTGTCTTCCTGTTACCCAAGGCTGCATAGCAAACCCCTTTAAATGATACCAGCGTAAGAGAAGGCTCATGTGTGATTTGGACTGGGCTCGGTGGGAACTGCGCGCCTGTGCTCCTGTCAGCATCC